CCCGGTTTTTAGCGTTGTAAGTCCGCAGACATACCGCTGTGCCACTGGGGGGCTTTTCTTAGTGTAAAGTTACACAATAATTACATTCTGTCCACTGTGGGGAATCGAACCATGGATTTTGACGTTGTAAGTCCATTAACTTACTGCTGACCCACCGGGGAACTTTAGTAGGTTTTCTGTCAAGATTGCACATATCTCGGAGGATAGACGTCAGAAGGATCAGATTCAGAGTTTACTTGCACGTGTAAGGTACCAAAATGCTCGATCTGCTACCGGTACAGCAAGATACGGATTCGATCATGACTGAATTGAATACCAGAGAATAATTTCTGTTAGTTTTAATAAAAAATGCCAAACGACCGAAGAGAAACATGTCTACCCACAGACCGGGTAAGTTTACAGAATCGTCTACAGATGTAGACATCCATGACCAGAGCGGTGAAAGTGATGAAGAAAAAAAATAAAGCCACTACGACCATTATGTGCATAGAAATATCCACAAGAAACTCTTCGGATCAAGCCCTACAGATCCCCATATATTATTCCAACTTTTCCGGATTTCTGGATCTCGTGTCCGGTTGACTCAGGGATTCGTTTTTAAGATTATTATAGTTTATAAATCAATAAAAATATTAATCAAAATTATCATTTGGTAATAAGTATGATTTAAATAATTTTAAGAATATACATAAGGACAACTAAACAAAAAAACATTTAATTTAGACTTTAGGAAGTCGAAATAACATTTGGTTCTCCAGCCCTAGGTTATACAATTGTCAGAAAGGGGATAGATAGCTTAAGCCCATTTTCTCTGAATTATGGTGGTCTACAACTCTTCTTAAATTCTAGTAACCAGCTAGCTATCTTGAATTACAATGACTTGGCTTTCTCCCCAACTCGTATATATTTCTCCATTAGGTTAGTGTTATTAATGATTAATCATTAAAAGCAACATGCTAAGGGTGACATCTATTGGTTAAATTTTTTAAACACAATTAAAAAGGTTAATTCTCAAGTTACAAAACGACAATCAAATGCTACTTCACAACACAATATAACTTGATTTTTTTTTCTCTTCTTATCGTTGTTTTACTATCTTATCTAGTTTAATATGATATACAGAAGCATCAGTTTGCATTTCAACACTACATAAACACACTTTGGTTTCTTCACGAGCATTTATGAACTTTAAGCCCCCTGTTGGCTCAGAGATAGGATACTAGAACGCTTATAACCTTCAAATTCAAGATTAGATTCTTGCCATGGGTACGACGCATATAGCCTATTCCACAATTTTACGCTTAACAACAAACAAATGAATTTTGAAACTATTAGGTCGTCAAGAAATTAACGTCGCTTTTTTTAGATGAAAAAAACTCGAACAACTTATATATCAAAACAAAACATTTATTAAATGAAATAGTCTTCATTCTTATCGATGATGCTTTTCCATCTTACAATCAGGTTTTTAATGCCCTGATTAAAGAAATCACTTGGCTTTGAAGCAAAAAAACACGACGATATCCTCTTTAACACCTTCCAAATTTGCATACCTTTTCTCATTAAGATGGTGTTGCAGCGAACGAAAAATATAATAATCTGATGGTGCCATATCTGGAGAATATGATGGGTGGGGGAGAACTTCCCAACCAAACTCCATAATTTTGTGTTGCGTCAAACATGCCACATGTGGACGTGCATTGTCGTGGAGAAGAAGAACACCTTTCCGATTGATGAGTGAAGGGCGTTTCTGATGAAGGGCTTGATTTAAACGTTCCAGCTGCTGAATATAGATCTCCACATTGATAGTTTGCTGTGGATTGAGGAGTTCGAAATGAATTACTTCTTTGATGTCCCACCAAATGCAAAGCATCACTTTCTACAGATGGAGTCTAGGTTTTGGGGTCGGAAGTGATTTTTTTTAGAACTG